TTGTTGTGGGTGGGCTTGGGTTCTGAGGTTGCATTTTGTTCCTTCTCGTCATTTTGTGTAGCACTGTCTTCTGACCTTTGTTATAGATCTTTGCTGTAGTTATAACCTTCGCACATACTGAAGTTCAGGTGCAGCTCTACAAAGTTTGGACTTATCCAGCTGCGTCTGGCTTAGGTCTGGCTGCTGTGCTCAGCTCCTTCGTGCTGTTGCCCTTGAGGGCGAACCTGTTGTGCCCCTGTGGCAAGATGTTCTGCTCCTGGACTAGCTGGGTGGATCTATCCTCTACACTCTCTGCAGGGATTGCAGCTGCAGGGTTACACCTCAGGCGTGTATGCCAGGCCTGAGCTGTGCCTGGAGGGGGCAAGGTTAATTAGGGGAAAGAGGAAGCTCTCCCACAGTCACTGGACCTGGGCTAAGACTGGGTCAGGGGTTCCCAGAGCACTGCAAAATTCCTACTCAGTAGGTGGGGTGGGGAGGTGCTGCGGAGTGGTGGGGGGCGGCCCAAGGGGGTGGGAGTAGGTCCGGCCCACGCTGCACCTGGGCTGGGACAGGTCCCCCTCCCCTGGTGCAAAGTAGCAGGAAGCTCTCCACACACTCACCGGACCTGGGCTAGGACTGGGTCTGGGGGGTTCCCGGAACTTGGCAGAAATTCCTACTCGGCGGGCGGGGTGGGGAGGTACTGCGGAGTGGTGGGGGGCAGTCCAAGGGGGTCAAGAAGGTTCTTTAGAGCCAGGCTTTGATCACAGTGTGTGCAGGGACAGGCTGAGCCAGGGCGCTTGGTCTGATGCTAATCCACGTCTTCCCAGCATTCTCTTGTGTATTTGTGAATTTCAGAATCAAGGTAGACTTTCACTTTTTCTTTTAGAATGATTTTATGTTTTTGCAGCTATTAGACCAATGTTTCACTTAGGCTTGGACACTAGCTCACCTGGGGTGGGGGATCCTGGTGTAATCTAGGAGGGTGACTTTAAGTGACACTGTCTGCTTTCTCCTCTCTCAAGAGGGGGGCTGCAGGGGCAGCTCACCTGGCATGGGATGCACAGTCTCTTCAATATACAGTGTACTATCATTTTAGTTGAGGAAACCCACACTTCCCCTGTAATGTCACACAGAGATGATTGGACTGGAAGAGGGAGTCTGTATTCTCAGGATTCACCCTGTCTTGGTCTTACTGCTGGGAAGAAGCACTTGACACCTGAAACTTCTGGGAGGAGAGTTTCCGGCACTCAGTCTATGGTTGCTGGCTGGCTCAGGGGCAGGGAGAGCTGGAAGGGTGTGGTGGAGCAAGGCTGCCTGTCCTGTGTGCTCTGGGAAGTAGAGAGCAGGAATCCCAGAGAGGAAGGGGCAGGACCAGAAAATCTCTCTTTCTGGTGATCTTGACCATCAGCCCCATTCAACGCAACCCACTTTAATGGTGTGGACACGGTCCCACAGGGACTAGCATGGGTGTTCAGTGGGTGGGTGTACAACTGTGATCTGAAACAGTCTGAGGGCAGGGTTTTCAGATGAAGGTATGCGCTGGAGTTTACGTGTTTGCGGTTGCCGGGCTGTCCTCCTGAGTTTTCATCAAGCCTTGAAAGTTTTGGATTTTTATCTTTGGGTGTGTTTCTTCAAAGGGTGTTGCTGGAGAATTTGAATAGTTCTTCTGTGTTACACCTTGCTTACTCCAGAGGAACTTTATCCTATGACTTTAGCACTTAAAAATATAGTTATCAAGCTCTTATAGAGTTTTGTGTTTTGAATATACTGTAGTTGGTCCTTTCCCCTTACGCTGAATGCTGAGCTGGCTTTGAATATTTGATCAGCATGAAACCAATACACAATGTCCTTGCTATACATTAATTTTTGTTCAGTGATCTGATTAGGTTTCTTGAGATAGATTTTCAGAAGTGAAATAGTTAGGTTCAGTGTTTTGAATTTTGTGAGGCTACTGATGTGTGTTTTCAAATTACTCTCAAACTTTGTAACCCTTTACACTGGGGGGTGGGTGTATGTGGCATCCCACCATGCTCTCTGTGTGGAGTGGAGGCTGGAGTCCTCGTGAAATCTACAGCTTCGCATTTTTGCAGATTCAGGGACCACAGTCAACTGCAGTCCTGAAGATATTGAATTGTAAATAATCACTAAACTTTAGAAGTAAACAATCAGTAAACTTTAAATTGCACAGGTCCCTGGGGAATGAGAGCTCGCACACCATCTGCTGTTTTCTGCTGGGACAAACCATGGACTGTCCCACGTAGCACACTGCCCACACTCAGTGTCCTTCAGTAACTCGGTAGCCATCTTAGGTACCAGACCCTGTTCAATCCCGGTGCTCCACCAAAGCGATACTATTTTACTTAGTAGCGGCCCTCAAGTCCCAAAACTAGGAGAATTGATACTTTTCTTGCAATATGTCTTTATCATTGTTTATAATCACTTACTGTGCCTAATTTAGTTTAAATTTATCTCAGATGTGTGAAGGTAGGAATACCACATGTGCAAGGTATGGCACTACCAGGATTTGGTTTCTGGCATCCAAACCAGGGATTGCAATCCCTGCAGACAAGGGGAGATGACTAGTTAGCTTTTGTTCCTTTTTCCTACTTGTCTTCATTTGCTTTTTCTTTTTTTTTTCACATCTTCTTTTCTTGTATTGAAAAATTTTTTAGAACATGGCAGTTTGCTTTTTCTTTAGAGGTGAAAATGACATTACTTTTGGAGTCCCTTTAGACACAAAGTATCACAAGAACTCACACTGTACCTTGTTTTGCTGTTACAGAGTCCACTTACCACCTTTCCCTGCAAAGCGTGGTGTGGGACCCATGGAAAGTACAGAATGACCTCAGATCCCAGTTCGGTTTTGATGATCTTCAAGCAGAACGGATTCTGAATTATTCAGTGGAGCTGCAGGAGGTATCCTCGCCCGATTGCTTCTCATGCCCTTGGGTCTCTCCTGGAGAGTGAGCTTCCGGGTGCTGCCAGTCATTTGCATGGAGTCAGCCAGCTGCAGACCAACAACACAAGAAGGCAAACTGAGTCTGTACCGACCATGGACAGACATTTTCCTTGTCGTCTCTCCTGAGCATTAACAGTAGTGCCTCCTTTCCCAAGCTTAATTATTTGTTCCTTTCTGGTTGCGATGGAATCATGGGAAGAATTAAGCTTGGGAAGCTACATACCACTGCGTATCAACAATGTGTACGGCATTTAGGCTGTATTCTGTAATTGGTACGTGCAGAGATGTAGGAAGATGTCTGAGGCTATAGCAGATGTTGGCAGGAGACTTGAGCATATGTAGATCTTTTTTTTTTTTTTTCTTTTTTTGAGGAAGCAGGAATTGAACTCAGGCCCTTGCACTTGCCAGGGAAGCACTTATTCCACTGAGCCATCTCCTCAGCCCCATATGTAGATCTTGAGCCCCTTGGGAACAGCCTTCTGGGACCAGCGGTTGGTAGAAATGGTGGGATACCCGTATGCTTCTTGGGAGAGCTGGGAAGTTACAAGGGGAGCTGACAGACAGACAGACAGGGCACCCTCCTACCACAAAATGAGCTACTGAGACACAGTAGGTCCTGGCTGTCCATCTTTCTCCCTTGTCACTCCACCCCAGCACTCAGAGTCATCTTAAGTAACATGATATGTCATTGCTCTGGGGCCCAGGTGGGAGGAGCCAGCTTAGGTTGAGGAGTGAGGTCCTCCAGCCAGAGAGAGACAGTGGGTGTCTAGGAAGAAAGCAGTGCTCTGGAAGGAGTGGGAGTGGGTGATTTTCTGGGCAAAGGGACAGTTGTGACAAGGGAAGGAGGAGGGACAAAGGCCAGCTGGGTTTTCTAGAGTTGAGCCTCACTGCCCCAAACCAGGTGGATGGAAGAAGGAGACTGTGTTCACTGACCTGTATGACATGGTTCACACTGCAGTTGTGGATGCTCTGAGGCAGCTGCCGTCTGGGGTTCTTTTGCTTCGCAGATGTGGATTCAAGACCACACACCCGCAGTTTTGGTAGAGTGGTACAGCTTTGGACACATCCTCCGGGCTCTACTTCCAGGGTCAGGGTTCTTCCCGAGTGGCACTCGGTGTTTAGAGAGAGTCTGCCCCCTCCCTTGGGGTCTGCATGGCTGGGAGGTGGGTTGTGCTTCCCCTTCATGAGCGTCCCTGACCTTGTGAGTATACTGTCCCAAGAGCACGTGCTGTTCCTGTGTGGGAAAGCCAGCCACCAAAGGCTTATGTGATGGCACTTGGAGGTGAGAATTGGGGATCCTAGGATTACAAGTCAGGAGGGTGTCCCACACCTGTGTGAGCACTGGTGCATTTATAAGAAGAGGAAGAGAGACTTGCGTTGGCACCCCAGCCCTGGCTAGGGAGATCTTTATTCTTCATAAATTACCTTATCTCAGGAATTTTGTTTTAGCAGCAGAAAGTAGACTAAGACAACAAATTACATTTGTAGATTCAGTTGCTGGTATTGTGCAGGCCACTGAGTTTGATCTCTGGCCTATAGACCTGCTCTTGGTCTATGTCCTGGTGGGTGACCTGGAGGAGAGACAGCTGGAAGCCTTGGGAGCTGATGTGGTATTGAAAACCCTTTTCTGATCTGCAGATTTAGAAGGCTTCTTGCCTCCGACCTGATCCAATCTACTTTCAGCAGGGCTTGAAATTTGTGACTCTGGGCCTTTCTCATGGTTGTTGTAGATGAGACGTCATGTTCCAGTTGGCTGAAATCCACTCCAGTTCTCTACATGTTTAAGAGTTAATATTTTATGTTAGAATATAGTCAAGTCACACTATGTGTTGGCTACCTTTCCCTCATTGCTGAGCCAGGATACCCAGCTCTGCACGTTTAGGAAGGAAAGATGCACGTAGCTTACACTTCTAAACTTCTCAAGTTGGTGCACTGAGTCAACCATTAGGACAAGTTAAAGCGTAAACAGCTGCCCTAGGGCATGTCCTCTACACCTTAGGATGCAGAACTACTGATTTAATTAGTTAAGCTTCTAAACTTCTCCTGTTGGTACAATGTTTCAACAGGTACACCATGCAAGATCTTTGTCTTAGAATGGCAACACTTTGGGAGTAGAATTGAGAGGGAGGCAGTGAGAACTCCTGCTGTGTCTCCGCCAAGCTCAAGGTTGTGTGTGGTGCCTGTGGGCCTCTGTGGCCGCAGTAATGAGCTACCACCAAGGCAGTGGCCGAAGCAAACCCAAATGGACTGTCACACAGTTCTGTAGGCTACAAGTCTAGAACAGGTCTGTTGGAGCTGACTTCAGGGACTCTGGAGGGCCGCATCTCTTCTGTAGGGGAGAATATTTCTTTGCCCCCTACACTTCTAGCTTCTGTGGCTGGGTCCACAAATTCAACTGGAAAAGGACAGATAAGCAAGAAAAGCCCAGACTGAACCCCATGGGCAAGCTTGAGAGTTCTCAGAGAAACATGTGCTCCTGGAGGCAGCTGGACGATGGGGTTTCTACTGTTGTAAGCTACACAAAAGCAAAGGGGCTTTGGCCTCTTGCCAGGGTGGACATTCCTTGTGTGTTAAGGTTGTCTCGGGTCAGAAGAAAAGTCTCCCAGGTAGCCAGAGTACTCCGGAGGGCCGGCCGAGTCTCTCCTAGACAGGAATCTGCATGCAGACGGGGACGTCTTGTGGTAACGTAAGCATTCTTTACACAGAGGGCCTCTGTGCTCTTCTTTTAGGCAGCTGGGGGAGGTAAGGAGCTTTCCCTGCATCTGCTGCCTCTTGTTTTTTAGGTCCACATCACATATTTAGGGGGCAAGGCTTGCTCACTTTCTTTCACAGGTCCTAGTGCCCCCCCATGTCACTTGCAGGTGGTGTCTTTTTCAAGCCGGGGTGGTCGCCTACCCTTGGCGTGTCTCTGTCTCCGACCCTGACTGTTTTGTGTCTTGTCTCCACGAATGAGCACCCACAGGCGCTTGGGGTCCGCTCGGTAGTCCAGGGAAGGGTCAGTGGATGAACACCTTGTTCCCTCCATGCCCGGCGATCTCACTGCTCCAATGAGACTCAGTCACAGGAGCTGGGGATTAGGTGTGGGCATCTTAGGGAGGGCATTGCCTGGCCTTCCACCCCTTACACATCCCTGTGCTGCCTGGCTGCAGCCTTGCCCCTGCCTAGACCTCCCCAGGGTGCTCGGCAGGTCTTCCCCTGGGCTCTGGTGTGGTGCTCCTCAGTCCTGCTCTCTGTCCCCTCCCCTAGAAAATGGTTCACCCGACCCCATTTCCTCTGCAGAGTCCCCGCAATCTCTTCAGCCTCTGTGTCCGTCCTATCTGACCTCCTGTCATCAGGAACCTAATGTCTGCACACCAGCCCTCCTAGACCTTGAGTGCGTGGGCGGGGTGGGGGCTTCCTTTCTAACAAAGACCTGGTGGCTTTGGCAGTCATGTGTGAGGGTTTTCCATCCGGGTCCCGAAGGAACCTGCCGAGCTGACAATTGGAACGTTAACGCTTTCTGCATGTTCTGCTGTCTTAGTCCGCCAGCATTGGATGTAACGAGTTACCACAGCCTGCATGGCTCACGCAGGAAGAGTTTTCCCCTCGTGGTTGTGGAGGCCAGAAGTCTAAGATCAAGGCTGCAGAGACTGGGGTCCGGCGGCGGACGGCGGTCTGGCTCACAGCCGTCCTCGCTCCGTGTCCCCTGCTGCAGCAGCGAGCAGGTTCCCTTCTTGCCTTCCTTGCTCGTGGGCGCTCATCCGAGCGTGTGAGCTGTACTCCTGGGAGCTGATTTCTAGCCCTGCAGACTACTGGGGATTAGGGTGTCAGCACGAGAACTCCGGGGCACACAAGCGTTCATGCCGCTGCAGCCGCGCTTGTGAAAGGCGAGGCGGGGATTGTTCGGAGTCTGCGTCGGGGAGAGGTTTAGTTCTGATACACCTATTTATAGAGCAGCGCCAGAGAACACGCGAAAATAAGAGTTTCCATACAAAATGTGAGACAGTTTCTGAAACACGATCCCAGTGTTAGTCCTTCTGGTTTTTTCCACTTTGAAAATTAGAAAAGAAAATGTTCGCAGCAGGGCGCGTTCCTGAGTCCCCTCCTGGGCAAGCAGTGCTTCCCGGCGCTCCTAGCCAATCCGGAGAAAGGACCAATTTTCTTCCTTAAGTACATAGATTATTAGAAAAGAAATGTTCTAGGGAAAAACGCTTTGGTTCTGAACAATTTTTTTTTTTTTTTTAAATTCGTGTCCAGTTTCCCACAGAGCGTGACTTAGAGAGGATGGTGAGCTCGGCCTTGTCCAGCACGCTTGAGGAGGAAGCTGAGCGAGGAGGCCACCGTGGAGGCCAGCAGCCCAAGCGGCCCGAAGCCAGAAGCTACCTGGTTGGGGCGGTCAGCCAGCTGCGGCTCTACAGACAGGTGCTGTCCTGAGTCCGGAGCTCTGTCCGGGGTGTGCAATGCTCCATATTGTCACTGATTGTAGGTCCTCCTCGGGAAGAGGAGCCTGCGTCCTGGCTCTGGGGCACGCTTCCCCTTGGGGTATCCACGGCCTCAATGTGGGTCACCCAGAGTCTCTTGTAGGTTGGCAGAAATGTTCTGAGGTTTTTTTTTTGGTGGAACCAGGGATTGAACTCAGACCCTTGTGCTTGCCAGGGAGGCACTTATTCCACTGAGCCATCTCCCAGGTCCCCATGGTTGGCAGAAATGGTGATGCGACTTAAAGGTCTGTTTTTGGAGACACTGCTGTGGGGCCAGCGCTGTCCTGTTCATGGCGATGGACCCTAAAGCCTCAAGGTTCTGGCCAGCTCACAGCTATACTTTTTGGGGACATTTTAAAGACTTTGAAGCAGAGCCCGCTGCCAGTCACCCCCATTCTCTTTATCAAGTGACACGCACCTGCTTCCTGTTTTCTCTCAACACGCCCCTGCAAAACTTTTGTACCCCTTAACATGCATGGCTGATAGAGGTCAGCATCTCCAATCATGGGTGCAACGCCCTTCAGCAACATCCGGGCACAATGGTCCCCTCCTGGCCCTAAGCTCACCTGGCCCAAAAGCAATCAAGGCACAATTTCGAGATGACTAGAATCAAAGTAGACAGGGGAGAGGCCAAGGAGATAGCTCAGTAGAATAAGCGCTTGCCGGGCAAGCGCAAGGACCTGAGTTCAATCCCCAGTTCTGGAGTTCTGGAAGAAAAAAAAAAAAAAAAAGTGGACAGGAGTGCTGTGCCTCGTGCAGTGGACAGGAGTGCTGTGCCTCGTGCCTTATGTGGGTGGCTTGTGCACATGGTCAGAGAATTGTGAGCATGCCTCACGCATGTCCCCAGGCCGCCTGCGACGGGCGTCCCAAAGTTGTTTGTAGGAATGTGAGGACGCATCCTGATGTTGTCTGCTGTGCCTGTCATTGTTTCTAAGCCCATGTCCCCAGGAGGTACTCAGTAAGTGCCATCTGTGCTACAGCGTACGATTACATTTAATCCCTAGCTTACTTTTCAAATTCCCTTTCACTTTGGTAGAAGTTTATGCCGTGGCTTTCTCTGCTCTCTCTCCCCACTGAGGGAAGGAAGGAGAGGAGAGGGTTGATTGCCAAGCTGTGTCCTCCACTGCCGCACTTGCTAATCTCACATGTCCTCGGGGAAATTAAATCATAATGCCGTTGTGCGCAGATTTTCAGTTTTCCAAAAAAATTTAAAGACTGGCTGAGTGATTGTCATTCACAATGGTCAGTAATGGATTTTTTTAAAACTATGTGCGTTAGTTCTGAAGTTATCAGGAATGCTAATGTTTTGTCTCTAAATTTGTAGGTGTTGGACCAGTGGCACCTGCGTGACCTGCTTCAGAAGGTGCTCATAGGCACGGGCCGGAGCCTGCAGGCCCTCAGGGACAAGCACAAGGAGGGCGGATTGGCGTGGAAGGTGGCGGGAGCCTTGCACGCAGGACTGCACCTCCTGAGTGACGTCTTGGCAGTGGATGGCCCGGGGGACAGCCCCTCCTCCCCGCAGCTGTAAGGCCCGCCCCCCTCTCTTCGCTGGCCTGGAGAGCGCCGCATTGTCGAGAGAGCACTATAATATGATCAGAAACAGATTCGCTGAAAGCTGTTAGACAGCGAGTTCCTGGTTAGCAGTGGGAAGCCCCTGTGGGTCAGCGTCACAGTGGCCCCAGCAGCGACCTGCACATGCATGAGCCAGAGGTCTGGAGTAGTGCAGTAGGAGAGAGAAGGATGTTTGAGAAAGTGTTCTGTCTTTCCCGGGGTTTTCAATTTTATACCTTTGAGGGTTGTTTTTATTTTTATTTTTGTATTTTGGGGAAGGGTCTACACTACTAGATCGGACTCGCAGTGATCCGCCTGCTTACAGCCTCCCAAGAGCTGGGATCACAGGCGCGCACTGCCCAGTCTCAATTGCCATCTCAGCGCTTCCCGGGCGGGCCGGCAGGGCAGGCGGGAGGAGGGCGGTTGTTTTTAAAACGGACACACACATTGCAGAAGCACTACTGGGCGAGGAGTTCGGCTTGTTTCCCTGTTTAAACAGTGTTTGTAACGGAAATATCCACGTGGGTCCAGGAATATTTCAGAAATGGGAAAAGGTGGGACTTGTGGTTTCTTTATTTTTAAAATAACAACTAGTTCAGCAAACTGGTCAATTCTATTACAGAACTGGATCTTAGACCCCAATAGGTTTGGTAGTTTGCTGTCCCTTGAATTTGATCATACTCCATGTGTAGGTTCCCCTTGGAATACAGTGGATCCCAAAGTTCACAGAGCTTACGTTCCTAGAGTATCTGCAAATTGGGAAAAACTGCACATTTCAGAAACGGTCAGGAAGATGCCTATAAATGGCTATTTTTACAGTTTAAACCCTAACTAGACTACGTTTCCCACAGTTAAGTAATTTAATTTAGCAAAATAGTGTATTACTAAAGCCTTAGAAGGCGCAGGGTGTTTTGATGGCATCCTAGGGATCTTAAGGCTTTAAGAAGGGCAGAACTGAGAACCCAGGAGATTGCTGCAGGCGCAGGCGCAGGCGCAGGCGCAGGCGCAGGCGCAGGCGCAGGCGCAGGCGCAGGCGCAGGCGCAGGCGCAGGCGCAACCGCTACCTTAGGAGGTGCGAATCTTGGCGCCTCTGTTGAAATGAGTGACAGGGCAGCAGCCAATCAGCAGCAAGGAGAACTGAATAACGCTCTCGGATTGGCTATTTCAAAACTACCCCCCCCGCCAAATTACAGAAGCTATTTGAGGTTTCTGTGAAATTACCGGGCCTTCTACAAACAGTTATTAGTTAGGTTCTGAGGAAACCTCCCGGAACGCCTGGGGCTGTCTACTCTGAACCTGGACTTCTCCGGGGTGTGTGGTAGAGCAATAAGCTTTCTTAACATTATTTCAAAAGGTTTGATTTCAAACCTCGGACCGCGGAGACGGGGTCAGGAGACTGTGCGTCTCTGTGTATATTATGATGACACAGGAAGTAGCAACGTTTCCAACCGTGTGACATTGCTGGAACCCGTCAGGGAAGAGGATCTTGCCTTCTCGGGTCCTCTTTCCTAACTCCTGCCTTGGCAGGGCCCCGAGGCGTGAGCCGCTGGGGAGGCAGGCAGCAGTGAGGGTCCCTCCCGTCGGGCTGCACAGCTCCTGGAAGGTGGCCCTCAGGGGCAGCAGGGTTGCCTTGCACGCTGAGCCGAGCAGAGCAGAGTCCACACTCTGCGGTCGGCCGACTTCAGAGGCGGGACGCCTAGCGCAGGGGGCGCTGACACCTTCCCGCTCGCTGGCCTGGGAAACACACTGAGCCTTGCACAGGGCACCTGTGGGAGCCGCCACCCTCTGTCGCCTTCCCCATCCCACAGACCTTCAGCCTTCCGGGCTCTTTAGCCAGGGCTGCCTGCCCCCCAGCACTGATGCGCCAGGAGGAGGAGGAGGCCCCAGGCTGCTCTTGCGGCTCTGAGCTCAGCAGGGACAGAATGGGGAGGAGGGCACCGCACCCTGGATTGCAGCACAGCGGAGCCCTTCCCGCCTCCCGGCCGACAGCTGCACACACGCAGCGGCGGGAAGGACTCCCCGTCCACCCGCTGTGCGCGCTAGCAAGCAATCCTTTGGAAAGGGAATCTATTTGGACCAATATGTGTTATGCAGAATGTAAACCTGCCACCTACTGGCCGCTTGGGTGACAACAAGTCCTGAGGCTCCTAGCGCCTTCCTGGGCCCTGGGCTTCTCTTCTCTGGTGGTGGGGTCCCTGCACCTTCTCTAAGACTTCTCTAGGTGTGGGCCCGTTAGTGTGCCACAGGCTTGGAACGAGGCTTCCCAGTGGTCCTCCTCTGGAGGAGGAATCACTTGCTGGCATGGCCAGGCTTCTGTGATGATGCAGAGGGACCCCCGCGAAAGGAGCGGAGCCCTTTCTCAGCTCTGCCCTGACACCTGCTCAGGCGCCCTCCAGCGCCTCCTCCATCTCTGCTGTAGTTTGGGTCTGAAATGAGCGGGGGATTTGGGAAGGTGGTCGGATCGCGGGCCCTGTTCTCCTCAGCTAGGGAATCACTCAAAGTCAGCAACTGGCTGCACTGTTAGCCAGGTGTGCCCCCAGAGGCGGCCACGGGGGTGGGTCGCAGGGCCCACCTCCCTCCTGGCTCCCCCTTCTCTCTCCACTTCCTGGTTGCCCCTCAGCAAGCGGCCCTCCTCGGCCCTGTTGTGCCTGTCTGGCCAGGGACTGAAACATGAATCTAAATCAACCTCACGTCCTTTAAATTGAATTTTGGGCTGGGCATGGTGGTAATTCTCAGGAGACCGAGGCAGGAGGATCGCTGTGAGTTTGAGACCACCTTGGGAGGTCTCAAACCAGAGTGAGTTCAAGGCCAGCCTGAACAACATAGTGAGACCTTGTCTCAAAAAGACTAAGAAAAAAAAAAAAGTGTTGAGTATTGTGTCTGGCGATCAGGAAAGTGAGAGAAAATCTTTCTGACATTTTTGTGGACATGTTGGTTTCCTGATATGGCGTTCCGATGTCCCCTCACACCCTCGGCCCCCTGCAGGCCCTTCGATTAGTTCTTGCTTTGTAGTCCATTTTTCCTTTTGCTTTGGTCAGAGCCTTGAGTGCTGTCCCAGCGGTGGTGGGTGTGCTGAGGTCCCGGGCTCCCCTCTACCCTATGCCTGTCCTTCCCTTCTGTGCTGCTCGGGCTGTCCTCTCTTCCTGTTGGGCTGCCTGAGCCAGCAGGAGCTCTCTCATCCACCTTTGTGCTTGGTCTTGTTGGACTCCTTGGTGTCTCTCCTACCACTCTGCCAAGGTTTTCTCCTTGTCTTTTTCTCCTGCAAGTCTTTGCAAGATTCCCCTTCCCCTTCACAGGAGACTGGGCCTTTCCCCCTGGGCTCTGGCCCAGGAAATCACACCCCTTTCCTACCTGTCTCTGTAACTAATTCTTCGCAACCCTTTCTCTCTTTAAGTCAAACATGTCATGAGAAGAGATGGGGACATTGGCAGGCGCTCCCTCTCCTTCTCAGGACTTGGTGCCCTTCCTGATCCTCATACCAACCCAGGTGCCCTCTGGCTCTGCCCAGGCCCAGGCCCCCTAGTTGGGTGGCAGAGATGGGGAGCTCATGTTGTGCTCTTCGGGAGTGCAGATGCTGGTGAGCCCTAGGCTCACGGGAGTTTCGGGGTGTAACAGAAGGCCACAGCCCTGCCTGTGTGTGTCACCTTGACGGGTCTGATCACAGATTGACCTATAGTGCCCATCTGTGGTTGGTGGAACCTGAAGAGGCTCCAGAGCCCAGGTCCAGGGTCTGGGCAGTGTATGTTTTACCTGGACAGTGTCTCTTTTTCCATGGGCAGAATAAAATGAAGTACAGCCGTGTGTTTCCTACTTTCTGGCTCTTGCCTGTAGGGATCCATTGGTCTTTTAGTGTGCTCCATTGCATCTGGGGAGAAACAATGGCAGGAATGAGAAAAGGATAGGAAAGAAGACAAGAGCTGGGTCAGGTGGTGGCCCGTCTGCCTCACTGGTGAGACGACCCCCAGAGCCACAGTAGGGGTGTTTATTTATACCTTTGCAATGTTTGTAATTTGTGACACAAGGTTGCCTACTAACTAATAGCTGACATAAATCAATCAGGATGCTTATGTCAGGACTGAGGCAGCACGACTGCTGTAGGCACAGAGGCCTAGTCCTGCTTTCACACATTTGACCAATTTCCAGCTTCTGTGGCTCCCAGCACTTTCCAGGATTTAGTGCCGTTTAACCCCACTTTCTCCTGTGGAGCTCTGGACCGAACTCCCGCTTCTGGTGTCAGGCCAGAGAGAGGGGAGGGCTGCCCCACTGCTGCTTTCCTGCAGGCAAAGCCACCAGCCACCAGCTCTAGTGCTGCTGTGGCCACTGGTCCTCTTGCATGTGCCCCAGGACTGCTGAGATGGTCTGCAGAGTCTGGAGGTCAAAGTGGCCAGGTAGGCTCAGTGTAGCCAGGAGCTTGAGGCTGGGGCTTGCATGTGCCCCAGGACTGCTGAGATGGTCTGCAGAGTCCAGAGGTCAAAGTGGCCAGGTAGGCTCAGTGTAGCCAGGAGCGTGAGGCTGGGGCACAGCTCCTGCCCTGGAGTGTTTGGCTTGAGCTCCACACAGCTGTGTCTTCTCTCTTGAGCCTGCTGCCTTTTCCATGGGGGGACCCTGTGCTGGTCTGGAGACCATGAGCCTGGACTCACTGCTGGCACCCAGAATGTGGCCCCAGGGGCACTCGGCCCCCCATACTCACTCCCGTCCCATCTTCTCTTGTCCCTTTTCCTCTCATCACCGCCTCTGTCTGTGTGAACAGTACATTTTCCTGCCTCACACACCAGAACCAGAGATATGGTGTCCCTTCAGCTGCTGCGTCCCACCACCCCAGAGTGGCACACAGACAGGGAGCTGGGGCAGTGCTCAGGCGACACTGCTTGAAATCTTCCCGGGGGCTTTTCTGCCTGGCTGTCAAAGTGAGAAGTCTTGTTCCTTCTGTGTCTGCAGCGTGACTGTCCGTGAGCCCAGCGCCCCAGCCAGGCCAGGTCTCAAGCAGCTGGCTGTCACCTTTGTTTGACCTTGGAGAACCTTAAAGGGGTGTTCCTTCTGCCTGGTTAGGACCACTTTGGTGGGTCCTGGAAGCCTCTCTACACCATCCCAATATTTTGAAACTCTTCTCAGAAACATCTCTCTATGTCTCGTAACTACGGGCTCCAAGGCAAATGGTTTCAAAAAATCATACCCAGAACTTTTATCGTTTTGAGACAGGGTTTCACTATGCTGCTCGGCTGGTGTTGCATTCGCAGTGATCCTCCTGCCTCAGCCTCCCGAGTGCTGGGATGACATGCATGCACCACAATGCCCTGCTTTTACCTGGAACTTTAGCTTAAACTTCACGCCTTTTACAGCTCATGGAGAGTGCACTTTTCCCATTCTGGGGCAAAAGGGAATGTTCAGCTCGCCTTCAGTAGCTAGAAGATCGCCGAGGCAGCAGCCTCAAGTGGTGCTGCTTGGCGGGAATCTGTTAGAAGACGCCAGGCTGTGGGCACACTTCCCGCGGCAGTCGGACGCTCCCTTTGCGTGCAAGTCTCATTTCGCTAGCTGATGCGCTGCGCTGTCCTTGTTTTAGTCTACATTTCATTTCATTTCATTTCTTCCACCCTCAGATTCCAGCACCTGCAGAAACTGTGGAGCGTGCTGCAGTCGCCGCCGCGGTGGCCAGCCCTGGAGGGCCTGCTGCGGCTGGACGGGGCCCTCCGGAATGTGATAGCCCAGGACTTGGATCTTGTCCGAGGTAACCCAGTCACCGGCTCACTAGGAGCACATGTGACATCTACTGGAAAGCAGACCTGCAGGCTTCCCAACGAGGCTGTCACCCCGGAGCGGGGCCACGCTGGGGTGGCTTTCCCACATATTTATGCCATGCTACAGGGCCTTTGGGGGTGTTTCATGTACGACACTCCCCAGCAGAATACAAAAAGCTCTCCCAGTAGAGAGCACAGCCTGCCACTCCCCACAGCCTGCAGCATGGCCTGGGACTGGCGATGTCCTAGGGCTGGGGCTGAGCTGTCCCATTCCCACCAGCATCCGCAGTTCTCTGGCCAAAAAGGACCCAAGTGTGCCATGAATGACTGAATCCTTGTGCTCCTTGGTGTTGGGCAGCGACAACTTCTCCCTCCTAAGTGTGCGCTGTGCTCTTTCCTGGCGTCCCGACTCTGGAGGGTCTTATACTTCTACCCCCTTCTGAGAAGGTCAATTTTGCACTTTTATGTAGTAGACAGGAGCCTTTTCATCTTCTCAGGGAGGAGAGGAGAAAAATGGGCAGGGCTGTTGCTCCAGAACCAAAACTGTCCTATAGTGAAGAACCCAGACTCCCAAGTCTTCGGAAAGACTGAAACGGCAGTGCAGTGACTTCTGCAGTTTCCTTTCTAAGGACAGCGATGGCGCACACGATAACCAGCCATCCAGTTGACAGAAATGCACATTTGTAGGGTTCTGAGTATTGGTTCACCGCCATGCGTGCAGCTCGGATTTGAGCAAGAAGCCTAACGGGGGTGCCTGTTGCGGCCTTGGTCTTGCAGAGATCCTTGCTCAGCTGGAGAGCTCAGCAGATGATTCTGTTCTGGGTGGACCTGATGGCTGGAAACTAGAGAAGGACGCGTTCTTCTGGGGGTTAAGGCAGGTAAATCACACGCCGAACAGTTTTTATAAGACATTGAAGAAGCTTATGCAAAGTTTAGCATTGCGAATGGGAATTCCACCAGCAAAATAAGGAGCAACAGGCCAGTGTTTGCAGGCTTTCATGCTGCGGTTTACTATTTTTATTGTTGTAGTCGTGAACGCATGGACGGCATGACTGAGCCTCTCTGTGCTTGTTCATCTTGTAGATACTGACAAGCGGTGCCGCCAGGACCTGTCGAAATGTAAGCTTGTCTGAGGAGGGTCCCACGTCCCCCAGGAAGTCCAGCATCTGGGTGGATCCCTGGGCACTATTGTGCCACCACAGCTCCTTCAATAAAAGCAGAGTTTTAAACAGGCTGCTTGGTACAGTGGAGAGTGCTGTAAGTGTCCCGCCCTCTGACCTCTTCCCAGAGCTCCCAGGGGGCTCACGGTCAGCATTAAACTGGCTGACGATGCTACTGCTGCACCTGTGTTTCTGATGAGGAAGGATTGATACCAGGCCACATTTCAAGGAGGCTGGTTGGCTGAATTGTTGCTGCCCCTCAGTTTTACTGCGTGGGAGAGCACCACCCACGCAGCCAGAGTCCGCTGAGCCTTCCCTGTAGGCTGCCAGCGCTTCTGCCCTTTGGTTTCTGATCTCTTGGAGTGCTCTACGTGGGAGGAGAAGGGGAGGTGGAACTTTGGCGCTCGGTCAGCTGGCGGCAGGAATGGTCATTGCCCACGGCAATGGTCTCAGGCCTTGAGAATCATGCTGTCCTCACATCTCTGGCTGGGACACAGGCTGCCCTTGCTGAGAGCTCATGTAAAACTACGGATAATTTAGCATTTTGTTTGGAAAGAGTATTGTTTCAAGTGTAGCTCCTACATTTCTTGCCAAGAATTAAAAATGACAGTTTTGCCATTTGTTTTATGAGTAAAAATGAACTATTTCTTTAAAAAAAAAATCTTCCTTATATGCCATGAAATAAAACCAGCGAAACGTTACATGATGTCCCAGCAAAACGAAGGCTGAGACAGTCACGTGTGCAGTCTGAGGCAATCAGTGCTTTCTCCCATGGGTGCTGCACAGTCGCTGCCGCAGGGAGCAGAACACGAAGCCATTGTTTTACCCTAACAGGGCAGGGACACAAGTGACAAGAGCCTGGTCACTGGGCATCTCCCCAAAGATGGGGATAAGCCCTCAGTGAGACATCGGAATCTGCGTGGGGGGAGAACGTGAGGCAGAGAGGCGAGCGCTCTAGAAGCCAGGCAGCTCGTGGGCGGCCACCCCCTTTCCCACATCGGCGTTCTGCTGCTGCGCTGAAGCTCCTTCCTAGCTGAAAGCCCATTCTGGGCTGCTCTGTATCTGCACAGCCCGACACGCAGCCCACATGCAGCTGGGACCCGAAGGATCTGCTGAAGGCTGTGCCTATCTCCAGGTCACATGTATCTGATACTTACTGCCCCTAACAAACACTCCAAAGCTCAGAGACAAGAAGCAGAAGCATTCTCTTCTCTCCCACGGCCATAGGGCCGACAGGGTTCAGCTGGGTGGTTCTTCTGGTGTTCCTCCCAGTGCTGCCCTTGTGGCTGCAGTCAGATGGCCATGGGGCTGGACTTTGGTGCTCGGCTGGGATAAGGGGTGTGGCTCACCTCTTCTGCTGAGTCTCAGCGCTTCTTTCCCCAGGCAGTCTAGCAGGGTAGCTAGACTTGTCACGTGACTTTCTAGGGACCCCCCCCCCTGCAAAAAAAAAAACAAGAAAAGAGACTTTCAAGCCTGAGGCCACTGCTTAGAAAGCACAAGATGGCAACTACCACAGCCTACCCTCGCTGAATTTTATGGTTTAAGGGAAGGCAGAGCCCAGCCTAGGCAAGCTGTGGGAGAGGTGATTCAGAGGGTGGCTATCAGGAGAACTGGCCACTGGGGCTATCTGGGAAGACAAACCGACACAGATGGATGTGAGACTTGGGTCCCTACCTACTAGGCTTGACTTTGGTTTCTATAACTGAACATGAGTGAGATTCCAGTCCGGACCTATGCCTGGAGGAGTCATCATCCCAGGGGGTGTGGTCTCAGGAGCGCAATTTGAACGGAACACGTGTTAAGTGAGTGTCCACATTTGCATGGCTTAATTTATGACAAGTTGATGTTCTCTTTTCCTGATAGGCTCATGTTTTGCAAGAAGCTGTTGCTGGGAACCCAGATATTCTGGTTTCAGACCCTGAGGCGTACCTGGGCTGGCAGGAGATCGAGAAGCAGCTGGTGGAAGTGAGCCATTCCTGTTCTCGGCTCTTCCAGTTGCTAGAAGTGGATGCTTCTCTGGGGGACGGTGCCTCTGCTGGTGGCTGCGAGCACGAGCTGACCTCCACCATGTAAGTGTGTCATGGGTAGAAAGCCTCCCGACATGGTGACGTCAGCCTGATACCAGCTGTTCGCTTTTGCTTGGAGGATTCTATGTTTTATAAATGCAGCAGAATGATATTTGTTTATTTTTAATGAGATTAACTTATTGGTGCTATGAGAAAGCAGCTAAAGACTATACTATATGAAGTAGTTTCCTTCAGTTCAACTGTTGGCTTCGTCTCTGACAAGAAGTCTAGACCCTGGCTAGGCCACGGCGTAAAGCGATGGAAGCTCTTGTTACTGCGCAGGAAGCACTCTTACCTCACCTGTGAGCGGGCCACTTCTCTGCAGGGCCACGGCTCTCCAGAACTTTTGACTGTGTTTATTTCATAGCAGCAAATTTTAAATGTGATCGATTTTCACTTTCTTTGGCTGCAAGAAGCTCATACTCAAATATGTCAGTAAGGGAATGTATTTTTCTTGGACTCAAAATGCATTTTATATTATGTTCTTCATTTTACCTTTTTATTTTCTCTTTTTTTTATTTTCTCTTGATTTAGTCACTTTTAAATTTTAAGTATTCCCATAATTTTTTTTTTCATTTTTTAAATCAGGGCAAATGAATTCATAAACAAATTATCACTCAGTGAACTCCTTCAGAGATTTAAATTTCTTTCATAAATGGATTCCCAGGCAATTTTCTTATATGTATGTTTAGAGGATTTACAAAGATCTCTCATAAGGCAAATCAATGTTGTTTGTGTCTTCTGGATTGTTTTTAACTCCAGGATATTTCATATTATTAAAAAAGCACAATTATCCCTGAGACAAATGTCCTACTGGAAATCCTTCCTAGAGTTTATCAGGAAGACTTGTGAGATGGCTCGATATGTGAACATACAAGGAAGTTTCCAGAACAGCCTGTCAGGTAAGTCAGGGGTCTTTTTTTTTTAATTTTTATTTATTTATTT